TTCCTTCTTTTTCTTTCTTTTTTCTTTCTTCTTTCTTTTTCTTTCCTTTTTCTTTTTTCCTTCCTTCCTCTTTTTCTCTTTCTTTTTGTTCTTTCTTTCTCTTTCTTTTTATTCTTCCTTCCCCTCCTTCCTTCTCTCTCTCTTTGAAGGGAGACAGGGTCCCGCTCTGTCACAGGCTAGAGTGCAGTGGCACAGTCATAACTCACTGCAGTCTCAAACTCTTGGGCTCAAACAATCCTCCTGCCTTGGCCTCCCAAAGTGCTGGGATCTGGAAAATGGGGACAGTATAATAGTACCTGTGAGGAGGAAATGAAATAGTGCAAAGTAAAAAGTAAGGATGGTATTCGAACAGTTCCAGGCACCTAGTAAATGTCGAATAGATGTGCAATATTAAAATTACAGCACTAAGATTATTATTGCAGTCAGGGCGCAAGAGACCACAAAACATTCCTGCCCAGTGGTTTTCAACTTCCATTTGCACATTTCCACTGACTTGGAGCTCACTCTCAAAATGCAGTTTCCCTCCCTTTTCAACTAATCTTTATTCTGCACTGTCTATATGCCAGCTCCTATTCTGAAACCTTTACATTTATGAGGACATAGTAACCTGAAAGATTGATTACAAAGATTCCCATTTCACAGCAACTGAAGATCAGAAAAGTTAATTTAGGTCAGGTGCAATGGCTCATGCCTGTAATCACAGCACTTTGGGAGGCCGAGGCAGGAGGATCACTTAAGCCCAAGAGTTCAAAACCAGCCTGGGCAACATAGCAAGACCCTGTCTCTATAATTTTTTTTTTTTTTAATTAGCTGGGCGTAGTGGTGTACACTATAGTCCTAGCTACTTGGGAGGCTGAGGCAGGAAGATTACTTGACTCCACAGGCTGCTACAGAGCGTCTTCATTTGCTAATTCACTTAGAAATCACATGTGCCTGGTATATGCCAGGCCTGTGCTGGGCACCGGGGAGATGGTAACATGAATAAAACATGACTCCTTCTGGATGAAGAGCTTACTGACCAGTGGGAGAAACAGACCTCTGATCAAGTCATCCTGGTATAGAACTGGCTAAACATAGCTGCTTAACAAGGATAATGAGCTTTCTGCTTGTCCCTCTTACTATAAGTAAAATAGGAGCCAGTGAGCCCCATGTTCCATATCTGGCTCTGGCACTTCGTGGCTGTGTGATCCTGAGAAAGTTACTTGATCTCTCTGAGCCCAGGATGGGGTGGATGCTTGGTTTGAGTTTGAAGCACAGGGTATGGCCCTACCCTCTAATCCACACCAACCAGTAAAACCTAGAGCCAACTCAGAGTGGCAGTCCTGACAATTCATTAAATATTTATGGGGCCAGGTATGGTGGTGGTGGCACATACCCGTAGTCCAACTACTCAGGAGGAAAGGTGGGAGTGAAGACAGGAGGATCACTTGAGCCCAGGAGTTCGAGACCAGCCTGGGAAACATAGTGAGATCCCATCTCTAAAATACATATATATATACACATATATATTTATTTCTGGAGCCCATCAGTGAACAAAAGACCAAATTGCCTGCTTTTGTGGTGTTTACATTATAGTGTAGAAAAACAGACCTCAAACGATAAATAAGCAAAACGTACAGTATGGTGGCTGCTGACAGGTGCTAAGAAGAAAAATAAAGGAAGGTGACTGGAAGTGGCAGGTGTTGGGAGGGCGTCACATCTAACAAGGTTGTCAGGGAAGGCCTCACTGAGATGGCAACATCTGAGCAGACCTGAAGGAGATGAGGGACTGAGCCTGCAGGCCCCAAGGGAAAAGTGTTTCGGGCTGAGGGGAAAGACTGAGGGGACAGTGAGGCTGGAGTGGGGAGTGAGGGGCGAGGGGGGAGTCAAGGGGTGGGTTCTCCTGAGCGCTCTCCCTAGCTTTGGAGCTGCCTGGCTGGGCCCCTTGATGGCATGGGATGGTGGGCGGGTGGGCAGTGGCAGCGTCCTGGAAGGAGAGATGGTTGGAAGAAGGCAGGGGCTGGGGAGCCGAGGGTGTGGCAGAGAGGAGCAAAGCGGACTGCTGGAAGAAGCCCCCCACCTTGCAGGAGGATAGAGTGATGAGGGTGGTTGAGGCCAGAAGGGCTCTTAGTAATGACAGCCCATCCTTTTCTCAAAAGAGCAAAGCCACCCTCCTGGCACACAGAGTAGCATGTCTGTCCCCACCCCGTCCCTGTGACGTAGGGAAGGGCTGCTGTCATTATCCCCATTTTACAGAAGGGAAACTCAAGGCTGAGTAAGCCCAAGGAAATCAAGGTCAAGATCCAGGGTCCTGCCTTCAGGGGGTGCCATTCCTATGGCCCCCACACCTGTCTGCGGGGTGTTTTCTATACCAGGTTCTTCCAGTGGCTTTGGGCTCACTGAGGCCCAGTAAAGAACGGCAGTAGGCAGTCAAGGGAGTGATGTGGGAAGGGCCCAGAGTGGCACTAACAAGTGAGCAGGGATCACATGGCACCTTAAAGAGGCCAATTGGACAGGATTAGCACAGCCATTCAGAAGGCAAGGAGGTGGGCAGCCATCTTGGACTGTGAGGTAAAGGCCACGTGTTGAAAAGCAGGCCGGCTGCGATGGCTCACGCTGATAGTCCAGCAACTCAGGAGATTGAGGTGGGAGGATTGCTTGAGTCCAGGAGTTTGAGACCAGCCTGGGCAACATGGCAAGACCCTATCTCTAAAAAAAAAATTTTTTTAAATTAGCCAGGTGGGTGGTGCATGCCTGTAGTCTCGAGCTACTCTGAAGGCTGAGACGGGAGATCACTTGAGCCCAGGAGTTCGAGGCTACAGCGAGCTACAAACACACTACTGCACTCCAGCCTGGGCAACAAATGCCACACAAGAAAGAGCTAAAAGCCTGCCACCCCTGCCTTCCCATCTGCAGCTGGGAACCTCCTGTCTTTGCTAACCTGAGAACTCCTCTTACGCAAGCCAGTTATTTTTCAATTTGGTTTTATGTAGCTAAATCTCACCCTTCTTGAGAAAGCCCCCAGAGATCCCATTCCAGGGGGCCTGCAGAATGGAGGGCAACAGGAGGAAGGAACCCAGGCGCCTCCAGAGGCTAGAGAGAGGGGCTCCTGGGAAAGGAGACGAGTTCTCCGGGGAGTTCTGACTCCCCCGACCCCTGATCCTAGATTGTCCAAATCACTGTGACTCAATTTCCCTGGTCTGCCGGAAGAACTGATGGCACACACAGGAGGGAGCGGATGAGAATTTATACTTGCAAACGTTATAAATTGTAAACGTAAGTTCTGAATGACCTCATATCACTGGAGAAGGGAGAAGGAACTAGACTCAGACATCTCGGCAGAGGCAGCGGCGGCAACACACGCTGAAGGTGTACCCAAGGAACGCCAGGTGCTTTGGGAAGTGGTTCGTTCACGTGGTCTCATTTCTGCCTCAGGGTAGCCCTAAGAAGTGAGTATCTGTCATCTTACATGTGAGCAGACAGACCCAGAGTTGGCACAGCAAGAAGCTCATACAGTGACCAGGCAGCACAGTCTGGATTCAAACCCAACCCTGCTGTGTACACTGGTTTCCGGGGCTCATGGTGGGGTGAGCACCAGAACCACCTGGAGGGCCCGGTAGGAGGCACCAACCTGCCCAGGCATGGAGGCAGCCAAGCAGGATGAGCTACCCCATCCCAAGCACAGGGGAGGACAACAGGAAAGCAGCAGGGAGAGGGCGGAAGGAGCTGAGGGGCCAGGTCAAGGGGCCTCCCAGCCACAAGCCTGGAGCTGCGCGTTCCCACGCATGGGTGTGGCCTTCAGAAATGCAACAGCCCTTGTCAGACATGGGTTTTGACAGCGACATGGGGGAGGGCCTGCCCCACAGCGAGGTGTGGCTGCTCCTGGCAGGCCCTCCAGAGAGTGAAGGGGAGGCCTGCCCCGCAGACCCCGGCTCACCACTCCCCGCCCCACCTGGAGCCCTCCCACATGCCAGGGTGGGGAGAGCCTGCAGCCCCCAATCACATGCATTGTCCTGTCATCCTGTCACTCGCTAGTCTGTGAGCTTCACTGGGGCTGAGAACAGTTTGCTCCCCTTCCTTCGTAGTGTTCAGGGCCCAACACGGCTCCTCTAACTAGGGCACAACCTCAAATTCCTGTGTTCCTGCCCCAGGACTCGCTGGGACAAGGAAGGAACAATTATGGTTTTCTTCGGCTCTGAAGCCACAGCCTAAGACCTATATGGAAGGAGTGTGGAGAAATGACAGCCCTCAGGGAACACCAGCTGGCTTCCTGTGGGGTCTACTCTAAAGGGGCCACATGACTCACTTTCATATGAGTCAAGATGCAGTTTGTTTAAAAAATAAGAATTAAGCCTGAGCAACATAGCAAGATCCTGTCTCTACAAAAAAATAGAAAAATTAGCCAGGCATGGTGGCAGGTGACTATAGTCCCAGCTACTTGGGAGGCTGAGGCAGGAGGATCGCTCCAGCCTAGGAGTTTGAGGTTGCAGTGAACTGTGATGATGCCACTGCACTGTAGCCCAGGCAGCAGAGTGAGACCCTGTCTCAAAAAAAAAAAAAAAAAAAAAAAAGTGAGAATTACTGAATCCTTCTTTGTTGGGCTCTTCCCAGGAGCTGTTGGAAGCCTGGGAAGCTGTCCAAGTCTGGGGTGGGGATGCTGCAGGACTCAGCTGCTTCCACTTCCATTGCAGCCAGGAGACTGCTGAGGCCCAGAAGTGACAGGTCCAAAGGCTCAGCCAGGTAAGGGCATAGCTGGGCATTATTTGCCCACCTGCCCCAGACGTCCACTTTTCAGAGTAGCAGTGGCTCTGGATTCTACCAGTGATACACTGGTCCTCAACCCTGGTTAAGGGACCCAGATCTAACACAGGGAGAACTGCGTCTTACTGTACCAAGGAAAACTGTGAGAGATAGGAGGGACCCCTGGCCCCCGACCATTTCTACCACCTAGAAACGTGTCTTTGGTGTGTGGTAGCGGGGCCAGGGACAAAAAAACCACAAGTGCACAAATCTGATGAGTTTCACAAATCTTACGAGTGCTGGGCGGCGTATACATTTGGGAAGGCACCTCGAACTTGGCCCTGAAGTCTCCTCCCGGGGGAGGCCAGCTTTCAGCCTCTGCTCCTTCTGGGGTTCAAACCCCAGGCCAGAGGTCCTGGCTTCCCAACCTTGGGCTGTGAGTCATCACCTCAGTGCAGGCTGGTTACAGGGACAGCCAAGCTGAGACAGGACAGGGCCCCGCAGCCTAGACTGGGGTACCCCTTGGTTCTCAGTTTCACTCCCCGCTGTGCCGGGCTTTGCCTGTCAGTCGGCGGCGCTGGGTCTTGCTGGTACGAGTGGCACTCGGAGGCTTCTTGGTGGAGTCCTGGGCCCGTCGGGGACGCTTCCTCTTGAGCTTCTTGCGGCTGTGTGCGTGCAGCGACGCCGTGAGGGAGGAGATCCTGTGGGAGGGCGGAAGGCCTCAGTTTACGCTAGGGGACAGGGTGGTGCGTGGCAGGTTGGGTTGGGGCAAAACTGACCACCCAGCTCACAAAGGGGAAGTGAGGACAGGCCCCAAATGCTCAGAGCACCAAACGCATCCCAAAGTTGGCCTGCTCTGCCTCCAGGGTGCCTGCCAGCAACAGCAGCTCAGAGAAAGGCTCCTGACCCTCACACTAAGGGTGCCCGGGGCTGGGCATTCTTGGGGGTGGGGGAGGCTAGGGGCAATGAGGAGAGGCTGAGGACCACCCAACAGGAAAAGCAGAGGGCTGCTCCGAGCTCCACACCTGCCCAACGCCACCCCTCATCAGGAGCAGGACCACAGGAGCTGACAGGCAAGGGCTCACCGCTGAGAGAGCAGGGGATCTCTGGACTTCCTGGGTAAGGCCTTGGTTGGCTTCTCCACGGATGACGCCTCCTCCTCGGACCCATCCCTTTGCTAAAGCAGCATAGGACAAGGACTGTTACACAGAGCAGTAGATGGGGAGGCCTGGGCTGGGCACCCTGAGCAACCATGGCTCTGTCAGCCTGCCATATTAAAGGTCTGGGAGGGCTCAGAGGGCACGTTGGCTCACACCTATAATCCCAGCACTTGGGGAGGCTGAGGCAGGAGGATCACTTCAGCCCAGGAGTTCTACGCTGCATGACAGAGTGAGACCCTATCTCAAAAAACAAACACAAAAACCCTCTCCTGCCTCCTAGTAGTAGCTTATAGTAGACACTCAAATGGACGTGAATGAAAATATCAGCAAGATGAGGACGAGACCTGTCTTTGCAACAGACCTTGCAGAAGAATGAGTACAAAATGGAATACTACTTACTGTGATACTTTCCGATATTTTCAATCATATTCTCTTTTTTTTTCTTTTTGGGACAGGGTATCTCTCTTTTGCCTGGGCCAGAGTGCAGTGGCGTCATATAGCTCACTGCAACCTCAAACTCCTGGGCTCACATGATCCTCCCACCTTGGCCTCCCCAAGTGCTAGGATTCCAGGCATGAGCCACCGAGCCTGGCCTATATTCCTTTTTTTTAAATGCTGACTAAAACCTACAGATGACTCATAACCCACAGGTTGAAAACCCACTGCTAGTACACACAGATGGGCCACATTAATGCTGCTTACCACACTGGGGGAACGATCACAATAAACAGAGACCTTTTGTTGAGCACTTAAAACAGGGCTGGGCACTGTGCCAAGTGATTCACATGGATTAACTACTTTTATCCTCACAGCCATCCCCAAATTCACTAATGAAGAAAGGGAAGCAGGCAAGGCAGGGAAACTGCCCAAGCTCCTTCAGCCGCTCAGTGGTGGAGCTGGCCTCTGCAGCCCCGAGGAGTCAGGGACTTTAGTGTCCAGAAAGGAAACAGCCCCTTGCACGGGGATACCCATGACATGGGCCAGCACTTAGCAACCATGGGCAAACCAGTCTGCCCCTATGCCCCTTCTTCCCAGGGGCTGCCCCAGGGCTGGGACTGGGACCCACCTCAGGCGGGGGAAGCCCCAGCAGCCGGGCCCCCGAGAGGTCCAGGTCACTGATGGTGGTCACGGTGACTGTGTGGTTGGGGTGGTCGTATTGCACTGACTCTGTCTTTGCCGTCACCAGCCGGTCCAGCTCATCTGCTTCTTCTGTACAGGGGGACACAGACCAGACCTCAGCCCCGGGAAAAAGCAGCAAGGCTACAGCCTCCCTCCCAGCTCTGGAGTGCAAGGGCCCTCTATTCCAGGGGAGAGCACCCCCGAGGTCACTGGCTCCAGGGCCTGGCCTGCAAGTAAATGTCGTGAATGATCCACTCTTTCCTTCCTGCTCCAGGGTGGTTCCCACTTCGGACAAACCCTATGTGACACCAGGAACTGTTGCTGCCCCTCCGCTCCACCTTCAGTCCCTCCGGTCTTCAGAAACTGGGCTCTCCATCAGGCTGGGTTTGCCACGAGGTTTGGGACTCCTTCTCCTGGTCTCTGATTCACTTGTACTTAGAGGTGCTTGAGGACCACCCTCAGCCCCAGGTCACCATCCAGACCCCTAGAGCTAAGGAGGTCAGCTTCTACGCAGCCCCTACATCCCTCTCCTCCCACCTACCAGGGGACAAACCCCCAGGCCTGTTGCTGGTTCTCCAGGTCAGGCCAAGGACAGGACTTACCCAGTGCCTCTTCTCTCTCTGCCAGCATCTTCAAGTATTCCTGGTGGCGCTAAAACCAAATGGGAAGGGGACACAGTGAGTATGGCCCCTCGCCCAACCTCAGGCAGGGGTATTGCTCACCTCCAAGGTGAATGAGACCATGGCTCATGCTGCAAGATAAGGAGGAGACTCCATCCTCCACCTTCCCTAGACCCAGCCCACAGGGTCTCTACCTGTAGAAACTGCTCCCCAGTCCTGCCCACACCCCCCACAACCCATCCCTGCAGCTGCCTCTATTAGAGCCATCCAAGGCTGCAAGTCCTCTGGGAGTCCTGCCCTCCTCCTCTGCACCTCGTCCCGGAGCTTCTTCTGTTCCTCCTTCAGCCGCTGCTTAATCTCCTCAATGGCTGCCTTCCTCCGCTCCACCTTCCGCTTGTGGAAGCCTGTCAGGTACTCCCTAAAGGAAGGACACCGGTAAGAGGTAGAAGAGAGTCAAGAGAAGGGCTTGTTCTAGAAGGAAAAATAGCTCATGCTGTACTCACGATGTGCCAGGCACCATTCCAAAAATTTACATGGAATCCTCATAATTTAATCCTCACAACAACCTGTGTAGTAGATGTCAATCCCCATTTTACAGATGGCTACATTGAGGCACAGAGAGTCTAGATTACTTGCCCAAGGTCACAGAGAGTGTAAGTTTAGGTAAGTAAGAGATGCTTCGTCCTTCCACTCTATACTCTCCAGGGCTCTCAGCTTCAAGCAACAGGGCCAGGTGGCGGACACACACAGAACAGGAGGGGACACCTTCCACACCCGCAAATATCATTACTCAGTGAATTATGCCACTTTTAACAGGGCTTTCAAGGCCACCCTCACCCAGACCTCCAGAAACCCTCCACTGAACCAACACCCAGTCCCCAGGGCACCCGCAGGGCCTTCTGATGCATGCTGGGAGTTTCCTAATGATGCCCAGCATTTATTTCCCTCCCTCCCGCTATCTGATCTCAGCCCCTTCTCATCTCCCTAGCGGCAGTTCCAGAGCCCAACACTGGGCTCTTCGCTGATCCGCTACCATATGCCATTTATTTGTCCGCCCCGACGCTGAGGCTCAGAAGTTCAGCTTCCTGGCCCGAGGCCTTGCACACTGCAAAGAACCCAATAAAAGTCTGGTGAGCGAATGAATGAACTTAAAGCCACTCTCATTGCACTCGCTCATCATTCAGTCAACGAACGACGGCTGAGAGCCTACTGTGTGCCGGGCCGATGGACTGGGCTGGCCTAGGGTGGTCGAACCCATTGCTTTGAGACCCGAGTTCCCGGGTCTCTGGCCGCGCACACAGAAGCCAGGCGAGGTAGGGAGGCCGAGAAGGCACCAACGGGGGAGCAGGAGGGGAAGTGGGTGGAAGCGTGGAGTTCTCCAGCCACGCCCAGGGGGCGGGGCCGGAAAGACCCTCAGCGTGAGCGGGCTCAGCCCGGACCTGGCCTTAGCCTTCCCCGAGCAGCCCAAGGGGAATCCGGCCCGGCCTTGCCACTCACCTCCGCTTCTCTTCGTCGAAGCTGAGAACGAGCCGGGGCCGCCGGTCGTCACCATCTCGCTTCTTCTTGTTGCGGCCCATAGCGGTGAGGCTCCCTGCAAGCGCGCCTTCCCCTCGCCTAAGACACTTCCGGGCGTGACGTTTTCGTGATCCCCGACGCGCCTCCCGGCCGTGCCGAACAGTTCCGCCCGCCAGGTCCCTCCTTTTAAAGGGGCCGCCCAGCCTCTTTCCTCCCTCCCCATGTGCTGGTCCGCGCCTTCTAGGGCCTAGACTCCCAGGGTCCCTGCGACTCCCAGCCCCACACCCTCCCCCAAACTGGCCTCGGTGAGAGCCAGGTCCCCAGACTCCATTGCCCAGGACCGTGTCTGGCACACAGTAGGTGCTTAATATGGAGTTATTCATGAATGGCCAAAAATTGCTGTACTGACCCTACTTTTGGTTCTGATGTCAACTCGGTGGTGGTCTCCAAGAGATAGCCGAGCTGCCTACAGCTGTGTGGTCCTAGACCAATTGCCTTGGCTGTGCCTCAATTACCCTATTTGTAAAATAGGGATAATTATAGTGACTTTGCAGGGTTATTGTCAGACAGTGGTTCTAGAACTTTGGTGTACACCAGAACCCCCAGGGACTTGCTTAAACCCGGATCGCTGGGCCCCACCCCACTGTTTCTAATTCTGTAGATCTGGGTGGGTCCCAGAATTTCCATTTCTGGCAAGTTCTCAGGTGATGCTAATGCTGCAGGTCCATGGACCAAACTTTGACAACCATAATTGCGAGGAATAAATGAGTGAAGTGTATAACATAATCCATGTGTACACGTGTTCGCTACACAAGCCACTGCCCCTCTCTGTGCCTTAGTTTCCCCAGGTATGGCATGGCAGTGTACTAACACGTCCTCTACTGACAGTGAGGGCATGGATATGAAGGCATGAAGTAAAACCACACCTGACGGGGATTTTCAGTAGTAACTCGGATTATATGGCTGAGTGCTCCATTCTCAACCCTGCTGTCATTTTGTGCTGTCAGATCCTGTGCTGTGCGCTGCAGACACCGCTGCTGTCCTTGACTTTAAGGAATGGCCAGTCCAGCAGGGCCAGTGGCCATTACAGCCCAGGGAAGATGCCTCTGCAGCCAGGAGCTCAGGAGTCTGCAGACCTCCAGGTGGGCTCCTCCAGGGTAGAGGACCAGCGAGGGCTTCCCAGAGAGGGTGACTCCAGAACTGGCTGGGAAGTGGGGTTGCCAGAGGAATAACAGGCTTTAGGACCCCTCTCCTTTAACAAATGGGGAAACTGAAGCCCAGAAAACAGGTAAGTACACGTGTATTGAGTGCGTGCTGTATGCCAGGCACACGAAGAAAGGAACTGTTATTTCAGAGAGAGGAAGGGACTGTGGCAAAGATGAGACTTGAACCTGGGTCTCTGGCCTCCCCACCCAGATCCCTGAGCTCTCGCTGGCCCCCAGTAGCTAACAGGCCCCCTCTGGAAGGCAAGACGCAGACCCTGACTGTGAGTTTGGAAGGAGTCATGCACACGGTGGGTGCAGCACTCCATGAATGCTGAATTCATTCCACGAGGGTCCCCTGCTTGCAGATTCCATGTTGGGTGCTGAGAGGAAGCTATCCTAAAACTGTGGGCCCTGCCTTTCAGCTCCCCAGGCCCAGTGCATAGCAGAGTCTGCCTTAGTGGTAGGGCTCCGACGTGCTGAACAACTGCCCCCTGACCAGCCGCTTCTGCCTCCTAGTGACCGTGTCCGATTGCCACTGTGGCACCCTCCAGCTGGACAGAAGCACTGTCCTGGCTGCAGTGATCTCCCCCGCCAAGATGCCAGAGAGCCGCCTTCTGCAGCTGGGCCGCCTCCCAGTCCCTGCTGCCACCTGCTCAGTTTATCAGGGATCCAACCCCACCCAGAGAGGGTATAGATTAAAAGTGCAGCCCGGGCGTGGTGGCTCACGCCTGTAATCCTAGCACTCTGGGAGGCCGAGGCGGGTGGATCGCTCAAGGTCAGGAGTTTGAGACCAGCCTGAGCAAGAGTGAGACCCCCGTCTCTACTATAAATAGAAAGAAATTAGCCAAACAACTAAAAATAGAAAAAAGTTAGCCGGGTGTGATGGCGCATGCCTGTAGTCCCACAGCTACGTGGGAGGCTGAGGCAGGAGGATTGCTTGAGCCCAGGAGTTGGAGGTTGCTGTGAGCTAGGCTGACGCCACAGCACTCTAGCCCCAGCAACAGAGCGAGACTCTGTCTAAAAAAAAAAAAAAAAGTGCAGGCTCTGCCACCGAACATGACAAATCACAAGCCTGCTCTCTCACCTGCCCCTTTGTGGGCCCCTTCCCTCCTCGCGGTTCACCCACTCAGACTCCTGTGCTGAGGAATGTTCTCAGAGCCTCGCGTGGATTATCTCAGCTAATCCTCACAGCCTCCTTGTGAGGTTGGAGCTGCTTTCATCCCTGTTTGGCTCAGAGAGGGTGACCAGAGTCACCCAGAGCCACTTCCGTGACTGCTGCCCTGTACACAGCATGGTTCCAGAGCTTCCAGTCTGGTACGGAGATGGGAACCAGTAAGGAGGCAGCTGCTCTCACAGGACTACACGCGGGAAACTCTGCGAGCTTGGCCGTTTCAGCTCAATCCAGCCTGAGCTGCCTGCCCAGTGAGGCTTAGGGTGGCCTTATCTGCCAGCGCTCTGGTACACAGTGGAGCAGCCACCCCAAGTAGGCGCTGTTGCTCCAACCCTTCCCAGAGAGTTTCAGGTTCCTTTGCCCCAGGAAAGAAGACAAGGGACTGGCAAGCCCACCCCAAGGCAGAGGATCCCCCAGACTTCAAAAGCTCAATAGCCCTTTACTTCAGCTCATGGACAAAAACACCCACCACCACTCTGAGCTTGGTTTCTCCTTGAAATTACTTTTACGTGCCAGGCACAGCAAGAGATGGCACATTCCCCTAATAGATGATGACGGTAATGAGCAAAAGAGAGTAACAATAGCAGCTGCCATTTATTTAGCTCTTTACATGATGATCTCTCTCTCTTTTTTTTTTAATATAGAGATGGGGTCTCCATCTTGCTCAGGCTGGTCTCCAACTCTTGAGTGCAAGTGATCCTCCTGCCTCGGCCTCCCAGAGTGTTAGGATTACAGGCATGAGCCACCACGCCTGGCCTGTGATGATGTCTTTTATTTATTTATGTATTTTTAAAGACAGGGTCTCGCTATGTTGCCCAGGCTGGCTTTGTACTCCTGAGCTCCAGCGATCCTCCCAGCTCAGCCTCCCGAGTGGCTGGGACCACAGGTGTGCACCACCATGCCTGGCTTATGATGATCTCTTTTTAGGCATGATCCCTGTTTTGCTAAGGAGGAAACTGAGGCTCAGAGAGGTATAGTCACTTGTCTGAGGTCACACAGACAAGAAGAACAGGTGCTGAGGGTGGAGCCCAGGTGGCCTAAGGACAGAGCTCTACTTAACTTCTCTGGACTCAGTTTCCTAGGCTCTTGGGACACACCACCTCTTAAAAGGGGTGAAGGGAACCAGCATTCACAGAGCCCATTCCATGTGCCAGGCACCACGTGTTTCTATACGTTACCTCAGCTAATCCTCACAACCCCACAGAGTAGGTGCTAGTGCAGCATTAACTCCGTTTGGCAGATGAGGACACCAAGTTTCAGAGATGTCGAATAACTGGTCCAAGGGCACACAGTGATGGAGCTGGGGTTTAAACACAGACCTGTCTTGAGTCGGAGCCGTTTCCTTCCTCCAACCCCAGTGGCCTCTCTCCTTATCTGCTCCAGGGCTTTCCTCTGCCCCTTGGGGTCTCAGGCCTGGTGTATTGTGGGTGCTCAGCCAGTGCAGGCACAGTCAGTATGGGTGAACTTGGGCACTGGGAAAGGCAGCCTGGGGACACTTTCTCTGGCACCCAGCAGAGGGCGCCCCATCCACACAGCCAGGCTTTCAAAGCTGTTTGTCTCTGGGTGGCCACTTGGGAGCCCCAGGAGAGCCTGGAGATTGGGTGTGGCTCACGGGAGTCCCTGGGGTGTGCTCCATCCTCTTTGGCCCTCTCATAGAGGTGGCTTCCCCCTCTCTCCCCATCCCGGGTCCTAGGGGGCCCACTGAGATGGAAACCAGAATGGCCCCCATCTTATGGATGAGGACACTGAGGCTGGAGGGGGTAAGAAACAGACACGTAGCTGGTGCCAGCTGTCCTAGAGAGTGAGGTTTGCCGAGCCCCACCCACTCAGCCACCATGCCTCAGGAGACCATGCCTGGGGTTTGGGGGAGCCCAGTGGTTCTGATTCTAGGCCTTCCAGAACTTCAGCTCAGTTCCTGCAGCTGTTTCCCAGGGAGGTAGGGCCCTGGCAAGCTCTGACTACAGCAGCAAGCGGGAACGTGCAGGGCAGCGGTTGGTCTGCAGCGATCAGTCTGCCCCAGCCATCTGCTCACGTCTGATCACTGGAGGTGGGCCGGTTTGATGGGGCTGGGTGAAGCTTGTCCCCCAAGGTAACAGGGCCCAGGCTGGTCTTGGAAGAGATATCCTCTTTGGAAACCAGAAAGGGACAGGCTCACAGAGACTGCATTTCAGGCCGAGTGAGTTACCCACACTGTGCACCTTGAGGAAGAGGCTGTGTGCAGCGGGGGCCTTTGGGACCCTGGAGGCTGGGCCTTCTGCCGCTGGCCTCTACCTCTTGGTTCTCTGCAGGGCGATATAGCCCCCAAGCCCAGCTCCTACCACAGAAACAGGGGCTGGCAATGGTGTTCCAGGACCATCGCCCAAGCCCATATTCCCATTGTCAGGAAGGGCCACAGAGCCAGCAGCTTCCTGACTAGCCCTTACTCTCCGGCAAAGAGGGTATGTGGCCTGGGGCCACAAAGCCAGGATGCCTGGGAGCCACCCAGGCTCAGCTGGACCTGGTACAGACCCAGGAGTCATTTCATCACTCACAGCCCATGTCCTTCCCTTCAAATTCAAGTAATAACTTCTCAAAAGGTAGTGCAGGGAGCTGGGCGTGGTAGTGTCTCCCTGTAATCCCAGCTACTCAGGAGGCTGAGGCAGGAGGATCACATGAACCCAGGAGTTCAAGGCTATACTATGCTATGATGATTGTGCCTGTGAATAGCCACTGAGCTCCAGCCTGGGCAACATAGTGAGACC